TCCCCTCCATCCTCCCCCATTCCTTCTCCTCCTCCTCCTCCTCCCCCTTCTTCCTCCTCCTCCCTCCTCCCTACTTTTCCTTTCTCCTCCTCCTCCCCACTTTTCCTTCTCCTCCTCCTCCTCCCCACTTCTCCCTTCTCCTCCTCCTCCTCCCACTTCTCCTTCTCCTCCTCCTACTCCCCACTTCTTCCTTCTCCTCCTCCTCCTCCTTCCCACTTCTTCCTTCTCCTCCTCCTCCTCCTCCTCCCCACTTTTTCCTCCTCCCCCCCCCCACCACCTCTTTCTCTCCCCCCCCACCTCTTTCTCTCCCCCCCCCACCTCTTTCTCTCCCCCCCCCCACCTCTTTCTTTCTCCTCCCACATCGCCCTAATCCCTACCTATTCCCTATCCCCAAACCCCATACCCCTTCCCCCTCATCCCCACCCACCCCACCTCCGCGTACTAAAATCCCCCATTCAGACCAAATGTTTTCCCTCTACCTAATAAATGCAGATGAATCCGCATTCTTTTTAGGAAAACGGCACACTTTTAAAGGAAAATTTCCCCGTTTTCCCGGCAAGTCTAGTTATTAATTGATTTCGGAGTCCCAGTGAGGTTTCACACGTCGCCTCATTAGTCATCATCAAGGCAGCGTAATTATAGGCAATTGGGGATTTTAATTAGCCTAGACTGGGTCCTTTGATACCGGGCATTTTATCGTCTGTCTTGGATGACGGGTTTACTGGGGGCGTTCGTCTTTAGGGAGGTCTGTCTGTCTGTCTATTATATTCGATCTCTCTCTCTCTCTCTCTCTCTTTCTTTGTGTCCGTTTCCTTATTTTTTTCTTTCTGTCGGTCTCGTTCTTTTTATTCATCTTTCTTTTTTCACTCTTTCGTTCTTTCTCTCTATTTCTCTCTCTAATTACATCTTTCTCTTTCTCTCTTTCGATCTTTCTCTCTATTTCTCTCTGTAATTACTTCTTTCTCTTTCTCTCTTTCGTTCTTTCTCTCTATTGCTCTTTTTTCGTTCTTTCTCTATATTGTTTTTTACGTCCTTTCTCTTTATTTATCTTTTGTTTTTCTTACTCTATTTATATATTGTTTTATCCCTCTTCCTCTTTATCTTCATCTTTCTGTCTCCCCCTTCCTCTTCTATTCCGTTCTTTATCTTCCTTTTCATTTTTCCATTCTCTCTCTCTTTCTCCTCTCTCCGCCGCTTCCACTTCCTCTTCCTTTGTATACATGTATCTTTTTCTTTCATTTTCTCTCTTTCATCTCTTTCACACCTTTTTCTTTCTACCTTCCTTCCTCTCTCTCACCCCACTGCGCCCTAATCCTTCCTTCTTTACCTTCTTCGTGCGCTCGCTCTCTCTCTGCTTGCCTCCTTGGTCTCTGCTTGGTCTCTGCTTGCCTCCTTTGTCTCTGCTTGCCTCCTTTGTCTCTGCTTGCCCCCTATGTCTCTGCTTGCCTCCTTTGTCTCTGCTTGCCTCTTTTGTCTCTGCTTGCCTCCTTTGTCTCTGCTTGCCTCCTTTGTCTCTGCTTTCATCCTTTGTCTCTGCTTTCATCCTTTGTCTCTGCTTGCCTCTTTTGTCTCTGCTTGCCTCCTTGGTCTCTGCTTGCCTCCTTTTGTCTCTGCTTCTTGTCTACTTGCCTCCTTGGTGTCTGCTTGCCTCCTTGGTCTCTGCTTGCCTCCTCGGTCTCTGCTTGCCTCCTTGGTCTCTGCTTGCCTCTTGGTCTCTGCTTGCCTCCTTGGTCTGCTTGCCTCCTTGGTCTCTGCTTGCTCCTTGGTCTCTGCTTGCCTCCTTGGTCTCTGCTTGCTTTGTGCTTCTCCTCTGCTTGCCACTGCTTGCCTCTTTGGTCTCTGCTTGCCTCTTGTCTCTGCTTGCCTCCTTGGTCTCTGCTTGCCTCCTTGGTCTCTGCTTGCCTCCTTGGTCTCTGCTTGCCTCCTTTGGTCTCTGCTTGCCTCCTTTGTCTCTGCTTGCCTCCTTTGGTCTCTGCTTGCCTCCTTTGGTCTCTGCTTGCCTCCTTTGTCTCTGCTTGCCTTCTTGGTCTCTGCTTGCCTCCTTTGGTCTCTGCTTGCCTTGGCTGCTGCTTGCTGCTTGCCTCTTTGTGCTTGCCTCCTTTGTCTCTGCTTGCCTCCTTTGGTCTCTGCTTGCCTCCTTGGTCTCTGCTTGTCTCCTTGGTCTCTGCTTGCCTCCTTGGTCTCTGTTTGCCTCCTTTGGTCTCTGCTTGCCTCCTTGGTCTCTGCTTGCCTCCTTGCTTGCCTCCTTGGTCTCTGCTTGCCTCCTTGGTCTCTGCTTGCCTCTTGGTCCTGCTTGCCTCCTTGTCTCCTGCTTGCCTCCTTTGGTCTCTGCTTGCCTTGGTCTCTGCTTGCTTGTCTTGCTTGCCTCCTTGGTCCTCTGCCTCCTTTGGTCTCTGGTTGCCTCCTTGGTCTCTGCTTGCCTCCTTGGTCTCTGCTTGCCTCCTTGGTCTCTGCTTGCCTCCTTGGTCTCTGCTTGCCTCCTCTCTCTGGTCCTTGGTCTCTGCTTGCCTCCTTGGTCTCTGCTTGCCTCCTTGGTCTCTGCTTGCCTCCTTGGTCCTCTGCTTGCCTCCTTGGCTCTGCTTGCCTCTTGGCTCTGCTTGCCTCCTTGGTCTCTGCTTGCTTGTCTCCTTGCCTCCTTTGTCTCTGCTTGCCTCCTTGGTCTCTGCTTGCCTCCTTGCCTCCTTGGTCTCTGCTTGCCTCCTTGCCTCCTTTGTCTCTGCTTGCCTCATGCTTGGCTGCTTGCCTCCTTGGTCTCTGCTTGCCTTCCTCCTTGGTCTCTGCTTGCCTCCTTGGTCTCTGCTTCTGCTTGCCTCCTTTGTCTCTGCTTGCCTCCTTGGTCTCTGCTTGTGCTTGCCTCCTTGGTCTCTGCTTGCCTCCTTGCCTCCTTTGTCTCTGCTTGCCTCCTTGGTCTCTGCTTGCCTCCTTGGTCTCTGCTTGGCCTCCTTTGCTCTGCTTGCCTCCTTGCTCCTTTGTCTCTGGTTGGTCTTGGTCTCTGCTTGTCTCCTTGGTCTCTGCTTGCCTCCTTGGTCTCTACTTGCCTCCTTTGTCTCTGCTTGCCTCCTTGGTCTCTGCTTGCCTCCTTGTCTCCTTGCCTCCTCTCTGCTTGCCTCCTTGGTCTCTGCTTGCCTCCTTGGTCTCTGCTTGCCTCCTTGGTCTCTGCTTGCCTCCTTGGTCTCTGCTTGCCTCCTTGGTCTCTGCTTGCCTCCTTGGTCTCTGCTTGCCTCCTTTGTCTCTGCTTCCCTCCTTTGTCTCCGCTTGCCTCCTTGGTCTCTGCTTGCCTCCTTGGTCTCTGCTTGCCTCCTTGGTCTCTGCTTGCCTCCTTGGTCTCTGCTTGCTTGCCTCCTTGGTCTGCTTGCCTCCTTTGGTCTCTGCTTGTCTCTGCTTCCTTTGGTCTCTGCTTGCCTCTTGGTCTCTGCTTCTTCTTGGTCTCTGCTTGCTCCTTGGCCTGCCTCCTTGTTGGTCTCTGCTTGCCTCCTTGGTCTCTGCTTGCCTCCTTTGTCTCTGCTTGCCTCCTTGGTCTCCTCCTTGGTCTCTGCTTGCCTCCTTGGTCTCTGCTTGCCTCCTTGGTCTCTGCTGCTTGCCTCCTTTGGTCCTCTGCTTGCCTCCTTGGTCTCTGCTTGCCTCCTTGGTCTCTGCTTTGCCTCTCTGCTTGCCTCCTTGGTCTCTGCTTGCCTCTTGGTCTCTGCTTGCCTCCTTGTGCCTCTTGCTCTGCTTGCTTGTCTCTGCTTGCCTCCTGGTCTCTGCTTGATTCTCCTCTCTGCTTGCCTCCTTGGTGTCTGCTTGCCTCCTTGGTCTCTGCTTGCCTCCTTGTCTCTGTTTGCCTTTTGGTCTCTGCTTGCCTCCTTGTCTCTGCTTGCCTCCTTTGTCTCCTGCTTCCTTGGTCTCTTTTGCCTCCTTTTGGTCTCTGCTTGCCTCCTTTCCTGCTTGCCTCCTTGGTCTCTGCTTGCCTCCTTGTCTCTGCTTGCCTCTTTTGTCTCTGCTGCCTCCTTGTCTCTGCTTGCTGCTTGCCTCCTTTTGTCTCTGCTTGCCTCCTTGGCTTGCCTCTTTTGTCTCTGCTTGCCTCTTTTGTCTCTGCTTGCCTCCTTGTCTCTGCTTGCCTCCTTTGTCTGCTTGGTCTCTGCTTGCCTCCCTCTGCTTGCTTGTCTCTGCTTGGTCTCTGTCTCTGCTTGCCTTTTTTCTCTGTCTCTGCTTGCCCCCTTTTTTCTCTGTCTCTGCTTGCCCCCTTTTTTCTCTGGCTCTGCTTGCCCCCTTTTTTCTCTGCTTGCCCTTTTTTCTCTGGCTCTGCTTGCCCCCTTTTTTCTCTGCTGCTGCCCCCTTTTTCTCTGCTCTGCTTGCCCTTTTTTCTCTGGCTCTGCTTGCCCCCTTTTTTCTCTGGCTCTGCTTGGCCCCTTTTTCTCTGGCTCTGCTGCCCCCTTTTTTCTCTGGCTCTGCTTGCCCCTCTGGCTCTGCTTGCCCCCTTTTCTGGCTCTGCTTGCCCCCTTTTTTCTCTGGCTCTGCTTGCCCCCTTTTTTCTCTGTCTCTGCTTGCCCCCTTTTTTCTCTGGCTCTGCTTGCCCCCTTTTTTCTCTGGCTCTGCTTGCCCCCTTTTTTCTCTGGCTCTGCTTGCCCCCTCTTTTCTCTGGCTTTGCTTGCCCCCTTTTTTCTCTGTCTCTGCTTGCCTCTTTCTCTCATTCGATCTCTCCTTCTCCCACTCTCCTTCCTTCCTTCATTTTCCCTTTCCCTCTCCCTCTCTTTTTACCCAGCTTTTTCTTCCACTTCTCTTTTTCCCCCACACGCGTCACTCTCCTCGTATTTTCCCCTGAACCAGAACTCCAGGATATCTGTCGTGCACTCACATTGGGAAGATGCACGTCCCGTCACGTGTCTTCGATCCCTCTCGCCCGATCCCACTCTTTCCCTCTCTCTTTCTCTCTCGCGCTCTCTTTCTCTCCTCTCTCTCTTCCCTCTCTCTCCCTCTTGCTCTCCTCTCTCTCTCCCTCTCCCTCTCTCCTCCCTCTTGCTCTTTATTTTCCTCTCTCTTCCATTCTCTTTCCTTTTCTCCTTCACCCTCTCCCCTCTCTTTCTACTTCTTCCTCTTCCTTCTTCCTTTCCCTCCTCTTCGTCCTTACCCTTCCATTCTTCCTCTCCCTTTCTCTCTTCTTCCAATTTCCTCCTCCCTTCTTTCTTCCCAGCACTTCTCCCTTCTCGTATTTTCCCCTCAGCCCGCCTCTTCTTCCCCCAAACGCTTCACTCTCTCCGTTA